GTCACAATAACACAAAACTAAACATGTAGAATGCTTTTATTTTGAAATATTTGCTCACAGATTGAAAATAAAGTTCTTCTGGTTGAACTTTCATCACTTATTGAGCAGATTTAACAACAAAAACTAAAATGTTTGTCGTCTCAAAATGTAAAATAGACCAATATTAGACTCTCGTGACAGTTTAAACCTGATGCTCAACATTTAGGTCCGACACTAAATGAAGGAGACGTGAATATTACTTTAGTGTGTGGCCGAATAAAAGTAAAATTAACGTCACTGACTGGATATTCTCTGTGATAAATACAAACCGAACAATGAGTTTTTTTTTAAATCGCTGCAACGCCAGCAGATAAAACGAACTGGACAGCAAATCAAAACCAAACGGAAAAAACATATTAATGCGTTTTCTGCATCACTTACTGATTTTATTTTATTTTTTCAGTTTGCAGCCTGATAGATGTGAAACTATGGAGGAAAATGACTGGATGAATTGTGATTTTTGCAGTGTTTTTTTAAAATATTGGTGCTGAAATGTGAGGAAAAAAACTTGAAATAAATCGATTAACTGGAAGTGTTGTTGTTGTTTTTGCACATTTCAGACTCGTTGATTTAAAGACTCACCTTCGCTGTAGAATCTCTCTGATCCAACAGTCTGAGCTGCATCAGAACAGGAACGTCTTTAGGTTCTGGTACCGGTTCCTGCGACTCCTGCGAGGATGACATTAAATCACCAGGATGTTTGATGGCGTACCGGCCCGTTCCTTCTTATTCTGTGCTCCTACCTGAGTGTTGGCCAGCGGCAGGCTCCATCCGTGGATCTGCCGTTTCCCCAGAGTTCCCCAAACCTGAGATCTTATTTCTCGGTAGAGTTCCCTCCGCCGGGCTCGAGGTGACGGAGCAGCCGGAGTCGAAGACCTGCAGGGAAACGATTGTGGCGTTAATCAGCTCGCGTGTTTCATACATGAAGCAGAATAAAGACACTGAGAGGCTGTGAAGCTCGACTCGCTGTCCTCCAGGACCTCCTCAAACTGTTGGATGTTTTTCTCTCTCCTTCTGGATTTGCATCAAAAAACTTCAGTCATCCAGAATTTCCAACAAAGCCTCCAGAACTCTCAAGAAAACTACAAAGAAAATTAATTTATTTTGCAAAAACAGACTTTAAATGACAGAGATTCAAATATTGTCCCTATAACTCTGTTTGGTGAAATATATTTTTTGTGATTTTGATTTGTACAAGATTAGGACCACTTATTTGTATTTATTTCCTGTTATCACACATTACTAGTGACCTCCAGGTGACACTGGTCCTGTGGGATTTAAAAGAAAAAAGTCTGAGAACACTTTATCGAGTTAAAACCCCTGAAACGCTTTAATTCGTCTGATGGATTTCTGTGAATGAGTCTCCGCCTGAATTCGTGGCAAAAAATGCCCCAAACTTTTATTTATAATCCAAAAAAAGCGTAAAAACAAAACAAAAACGAGACTGAAATCATCACTTGAGCTTGTGTTTGGTGAAACATGGTCGGTAAATTAAAATTCATGCTTTTACAAATTACAGATTCATATGGAAATAAAAGCAGAAAAGACTTCTGCATTTAATTAAAAATGACAAGAAAACCAAAGTCTTTTACTTTATAGTCCACAAAAAAGAACAATAAATAAACAAACAAACAATAACTGATGAATGTGCAAAAGTTTTCTTACTTTGCCAGATGTCACTGCACTTGTTGGAGCCTGATTATATGATATTTGTAGATTATCTTGCACAGCAGGTTTAAAATCTTGACTTTCTCAAACCTTTGCAGCAGCAAACTTACTCGGTGTGAGTCCGACTGATGACCGGAAGCTGCGGAGATGCCAGAGGAGATCGGGTCAGCGCCGGGGAGGTCGCCAGCGCAGACGGTGGCGGTGGGATTAAAGGCGCCTTCGTCAGGCCGAACAAGCGGTTGAATCTTTAATGGAGATAGAGAAGACACAGTGAGCACGGTGAGAGGAAAAGTCTGTAGAAACATGGAGATAGTTCAACATCTACAGCAACAACGCAAGCTGGGCACAAAACAAGAACAGCAAGAATGAGACACAAAACCACCGGAACGACAAACAAAAAGAGGAAAACAACAAAAAAGGGACACTGAGCCACGTAAACGAGACGGAAGACGATAAAAAAAAGAGACACTAAACACTACAAATAATACACTAACATTTTGTTTCCAAATTTTTCTCCGTTTTTGCAAATAAGTGACTAAAATCTACTTTTTTCCAGATTCCTGTCACCCATCTGACAGAGGGCGGATTCAAAAATTTGCCAAAAATAAAACATTTGCAGGATCTACATCCCGTAAAATACATAAAACTCTGAGGTTTTCTGTGCAACCGTGAAGCCTTGACTGACTCCAACAGTCATGTGCGAAAAATTCTGAGAGTTTTTCTGATAAACTGCAAGTAAGGAAACAAATTCAAAACATAAAGAGTTAAACATCTAAAGTATGTGGAGCCTCCGGGTTTTCTGTGGATGCTAACGTTGGACGTGTTGAGTCGAGGTTTTACTTTATGTTTTTTCTTTTATTGTAAGATTTTCTCTCTCCTTCTTCGTGGTGGTTGTGTTTCCACAGAACTTGAAAAATGCGCCACAGTGAAGAAAAATGAAGAAGAAACTGCTGCTTGGAGTTCAGAGAGTTGACGCATCGAACCACCTCCTCGTCATGGACTGCAGCGAGTTCAGGTGTGTGGTTTAATGTCAGAGGTTAATAAAGAACGACCTACTTTCTCCAAACACTGGACCTTTTCTCGTCTGTGAACTTCTCCCCCTTCGTCGCTCTGGCAGAAAGCAGAAAGAGTTTTAAGTGAACTGTAAACTCAGCTCAACGTTAACTCTTAAATCAGGCGCAGGGTTACCGGAGGGTCTGACTGTGTCGAACCGCCTCCTGCAGCTCGAACAGACGCTGCTTGTACTGGTTCTTCTCCATGACCACGCGAGCCATCTCAGAGCGAGAGAAGTGACGCATGGAGGCCGGCAGCGAAGCCTGAGAGCAGAAAAGTTCATCAGGATTCACGCTGAGGAGCTACAGGATTTAGAATAAAGCTTCACTGCTGCAGGAGATCACGTCTTACATCTGGATTCTCAGACTGACACGCCTCCAGCTCTTTACGAAGCCTGTGAAGGAAATATTATAAATATTACAAACAGATGCAGCAATGAAGAGGATGATTAACACGAGTTAAGCTCCTTCACCTCTTCGTCTCGTCCTCCTTCTCCCTCATCCTGGCCTCCAGCCGGGACACCGTCTCCTGGAGAGACGTCACCTCCAGCTTCTGAGCCGAGCGGTCGTCGGTCAGCTCGACCACCCGAGAAATCAGAGCTTTACGAGCAGCTTCGATTAACTCGCTGCCGGGCAGCAGAAACAGAGCAAAGTCAGGATTATTTAGGAGTCTTTATTCGTACCACAGCAGAGAACTTTGCAGTGCACTAAAGGGGAACGTGCACAAATGTAGGAAACGAGTAGAACATTTAAAAAGTAGTGTTGAAACTATGCAGGTTTTGTAGAAATTCAAATACTGCACAGGTTCGTTCTGAGCAAAACCTCCAGATAAAAGTTCACCAGAGAACATGAACAGAAGCCTGATGGATGCTGGAGAACATCCTCTGGTCAGATGGAGATCAATGTGTTGGGCTCAGATGGAGTCCAGATGTTTGGTGTGAACCTGACCAGGACCACCACAGTGAAGTGGTGGCAGTATCATGATATGGGGCTGCATGAGGGCAAGAGGTGTTGATGACATTTCTAGATGAATGTCTGAGGATGAACCAGGATACTGGCTGACCAGGACGACCACAGTGAAGCATCGCTCCACATGTAGAAACTCAGACATCGCAAAGATTTGTGTGGATGTAGAAAAATAACAATATCAGACATATATATGTTGGAAAAACAATGACGTTTGGGTTATTCCAGCTCAGTTCAGCAGACTGTTGCTAATCTTTCTGTGACCATCTCGGATTGGGTTAAAAAAAAAAAAAAGGGATTTTTTGCTACCAAAAAAATAACGAAAAAATCAACTTTTTCATGTTTTTTTTTCCAAATTCGTGACGACACCTTAACTTTGGATGACAATATCTCAACAAGTATTTAAGATGCAGACTTATCTGACAACACATTTCCCCTTCACCCACATCACGGCTACCTAAATGCATACGCTGAGATTCTATGGCCTGTTCAACGTCAGGAAATATTAACGCCTGAGGCCATCTTTGTTCACCAATAAAACATACAAAATCTACAACAGAAGTCTGAAATTTCCGTCTTCCATAGTCCAGTATGAGATGTTTAATTATACCCAATGTCATGAAGATGACACATACAGCCTCTGAGATACAGACCCTCAAAAATAGCAAGTATCACAACTTTACGCGCCAATAGCCAGTGAATGAGAGGTCATCATTGAAGTGGTTTGAATTTTCAACCATGACAACTTAGGAACATTGTCTTTCAAACTGGGATCTTTTTTCAGTTTTGCTGGACAACTTGTTCAAAGAAACTGATGTATGAGAACGGAAGGAGGGCTAATTTCTATTGTAAATGCTGTTTGTTGTATGGGTGCACAAAGATGGTCTGTGGCGTTAATATTTCCTCACATTGAACAGGCCGTAGAATCTCAGCATATGCACTGACGTAGCTGTAATGTGGGATTTAAACACCTCCAGTATCGGGGAAATGTGATCTCAAATTTGAAGTCTGTATGTCAAATACATCTTGAGATATTTTCATCCAAAGTCAGAGTCTCGTCACGAATTTGGCAACAAGGTGAACTGAGGTGGAACGACCCAGTTACAGATTCTTCCATTAGCAGAAAGTAAACGTTAAGATTGCAATTAGCAGCCCTCATAGTTTCTTCTGCTATTTATTGGTTTCTACGGAAGCAGCAAACCCACATGTGTGGAAAACCCCCGTAAAACTGCACCAGACGAGCTGTGACAAGGTCAGAGGAATTTAATTTTGGACTCACTGGGTGACTTTCAGTTCCTCATACTGAGAAAGAATCTCCTCGAACTGGTCTGCGCTGCCTGAACAGAAACAAAGGTTAAAAAACACACCGAATGCATTTGGAGCTGTTTATTGCGCAGTCACAGCCGACAAGAAATAACCACATGAGATGGGGCAAAACAGTAAAAATAAAACAGGAAGTAAAGTTTGTGACACCGGCAGCAGGAGCCTGTTCTCACTGACGGACCCACACCTCATGTTAACGGGGTATAAATAGTTTCCCAGCTTGGCCAGAGTATTTTTAGAAACCGACCTTATGTCACTTTCAGTGTCTGTAAACACAAACTGTACACAACAGCAGAGAACACAACCCTGGGTTATAGGTCAAATGGCTTCAAATGGTGTCAGCGTTATTTCAGTGTTTCCTCTGATGGACCTTCAAAACCCAAAGATTCTTGAAAACTATGTTGAAGACTCAGGCTCTGAAGTAGAAACTGAAATCTGTTGAGTCCACTTGTGGTTTCCAGTCAGTCTACCTGCATGAACACGGTTCTACAACGAGCTGAGAACAGCAGAACCTTCTCAGTTCTGAACCTACGGACTCAGTCTATCACCAGGTGAACACGCAGCTCCTTGACCAGAATAGTACCAGACTAACTCCCGGTCTGACTTACTCTTGGTCTGACTAACTGCTGATCAGACTAACTTCCGGCAAGACTAATTCTTGGTTTGACTAATTCCTAATCAGACTAACTCCCAGTCAGACTAACTCCTGCTCAGACTAACTCCCGGTCAGACTAAATCCTGCTCCCACTAACTCCTGCTCAGACTAACTCCTGCTCCGACTAACTCCTGCTCCGACTAACTCCTGATCAGACTAACTCCTGGTCAGACTAACTCCTGGTCAGACTAAATCCTGCTCCCACTAACTCCTGATCAGACTAACTCCTGCTCAGACTAACTCCTGCTCAGACTAACTCCTGATCAGACTAACTCCTGATCAGACTAACTCCGGGTCAGACTAACTCCTGGTCAGACTAACTCCCGGCCAGTTTGTGTTCTTACCTCTGATGCTGGCTCCTCGGTCGACACTCTCCACGTAATCCCGGCTCAGCTCCGACAGTTCAGAGAACACTGAGTCGGTGTTTCGGAGATCAAACTCCACGCTGTCCTCTTCATACGCCTCCTCCTCCTCTTCCTCCACCTTCTCCTTCCTCTCTCCTCCCTTCTCCTCCACCCCCCTCAGCTCCTCCTCCAGGCTCGTCTCCGACTCGTCGTTCTGCGGCTCTTCGGGGTCAGATCTGACCGGAGTGCTGGGGGTTAATAATAAATGTTAACTAAATGTTTGGCCACACTAACAAGTTGACGTGAACTCTGAAGGTGCATCTCCAGCTGTTTCTGGTTTCAGATCATCACCTGGCGTTCAAGGAGCCGTGAAACTGTCTGAGCTCCGGGGTGGAGCTGATGATTTCACTGACGAACTGGTCCACGGTGGGTTTTGCGGTGATGTTGATCACGTTCCCTTCTTTGGCTCCAAGATCCTCCAAACAGGGAGGACCGGAGTTTGAATGTGGTCTCTGAACCATCTGCAGAAATAAAAGAGCAGGAATCAAATTAGGTGTTTCTCTTATTTTCATGTTTTAAGCTTAAATTCTTCTTTTTTTTTTCAAACATGTCGTAGCCAGAAACAGAATCCGTTTACCTTTTCATTACTGCTGGATTCTGAGGTGTGGTTGGAGGAAAAGTCGGCGTTTCGAGGACGAACGTGATTCCTGGAGCGATGAAAAGTCATTTAAACATCAGCTGTGCTTCTTTCTCAAATCCTGCACCAACAACTATTTATTTTTAGCAAAAAAAACCTAAAAAGTCCCATTTAACCATTGGAAAAGTCACATTTTCTGAAAAAATATATTTTAAAAAACGTGGAAAAGGGACATTATTCATCAGCCAGTGACCATAAAAACAGGAAAAAAATCAGTTTCTTTCTATTTTCTGACGGTGCTTGAATGAGTCATGTGCAGCGTTTCATACTTTTAGGATTATTGACTAAAAACAAGGTCAGAATCGTGATATTTCATCTGAATCAGTCTCCTCGACATCTCTCAGTTGAAAATTTGCCAGAAAAACACCATTTGCTTTAACCAGGTTCCTTGAAAAATAAAGTTTGATTTTACTATTTATTCATTAGTTTCTGAATCGATGACATAATAAGAAATAACGGTGAAAATTTCAGGTTTTTATCTTTAAAAGTTCCTGAGATATTCTCGTTCAAACAGCCTCAGATTTCAATTTGAGAAAAAAAACCTGCTGAAATAAAGGTCGACGGGCAGATTTTAAAAACATTTTATCCTGGAAATTGTTTGCTATATGAAGCTAAAACCTCACAGATGTCATTTTAAATAGCCAGAGTGTACAAGAAGGAAGTTTAAAGAAAATCAGAGCCGGTGGAGCAGAGCGTTAAATAAAAAGCACCTTAAAGGAGAATCCCTCTCAGAGTCCTTCTTCTTTTCCAGAAGCTCCCGATACGAGTGGCCCAACTGAAGGAGAGAACATCAGTGAAGATAAACACCGTCTGAACGCTGAGTGTAATCGGTGTGGTGATAGACTGGCTCATGATTAGTCTGACCTTGGTGTGAGTCAGTCTCAGGGTGCTCAGCTCTCGGCTCAGACTCGCCTTCTGCTCCTCCAAGGCCACCACTGACAGAAACAAGTTAGAATCAGCCTCTAGCGTCTCTGAAAACTTCGACTCACCAGAAAGATGAAATAGATTCACAGGAGGTGGAAATAAACAACGAAGCACGTGTCAAAGGGGCTATTAGGAGCATTTTCCCAAATTTTTAGATCATTTTCTTCTCTATTAGTGCCCTGACACGTCGCCCCCGACCACTGAACACATTATTATTATGTTTAATCTTGAATAGTTTTGCGCCATAACTCGTGGATTTGTCTCGTGTCTGCTGTCATTTTGACAAGTTAGAAAAAAAGATAGAAGAAAAAACAGTCTGTAAAAAAATACACGATAAAATACTACAATAATATAATACTATAAAGAATGTCTTTAACCTCAAAAAATACGTCTTCATGCTAAAAACAATACATTTAACTCTATAAAATACGTAATAACACGACAAAATATGTAGTAGAAATCAGCAGAAAATATGTACCAAGTGAGTACATATTGTAGTGTAACACTATAAAGTACATATTAGTACAATAAAATACGCATTAACACTATAAAGTACGTATTAATGCTATAAAATATGGAAGAACACGATGAAATGCATTGTAAATCTATAAAGTATGTCTTAATCCTAAAAAAATGAAAATCTCAACGCTAAAAAAACTACATCTAACTCTATAAAATATGTAGTAATACTGTACTAATAATTAATAGTACGACTAACGACTACTATAAAATACGTAACACGATAAAATACGTCTTAACGCTAGAAAAATACGTGTAACTCTCTAAAGTACATATTAGTACAATAAAATACACATTAACGCCATAGAATACGTATTAATGCAATAAAATATGGAATAACACGATAAAATACGTTGTAAATCTGTAAAGTATGTCTTAATCCTAAAAACAAAATAACATCTGAACACTAAAAACAAAAGCTTAACTCTATAAAATACATTAACACGATAAAATACGTAATAATACAATCAAATTTAAAATAATGCTATAAGATACGTATTAACACAGACAAAATACATTTAACTCTGTAAAATATGTATTAATGCTAAAAAAAATATTTAAAAAAAGTACTAAAAAAGTTAAAAACGACAAAATGTCTTCTATAAAATACATATTGACGCCTTAAAATCTGTCTTAAAACTACAAAATACGTCTTAATATGAAACTAAATCTGGTGATGTGCCTCCGGTCCTGAATTCACTCATCTATCTGTTATTCTCCTACGACACAATGCATGATGGGACATGTTGCCGTTAGCGACCAGCGGCTGCTTCCCCCGGTGCATCGTGGGAAACTCGTCACATCCTCACACTGATCGGCCTGCTCTCTGGCCTTCTTCTCCAGGTCTCTCTCTCGGCGCTCCCTCTCCTTGTCCCTGGTCCTCATGGCCCTCCTCTCCTGCTCGGTCTGGTCGTCCAGCTCCAGGTACCTCTGCAGAGGAACCACACAACTCACTGACGGAACCCAGAACACGAACCCTGGAGAACATCAGCCATCACCTCCCTCTCTCCCTCCTCACCTCCTGGCTCTCCTTCCTCAGAGCTCGCTCCGCCCGGTATCGCTCCAGAAGCTCCTCCCGCTCAGACTTCTCCTTCTCGGCTTCCTCCTCTCGCTCCCTCAGCTGGGACTTGCAGCTGGCCAGACCCTCCAGAACCCACACGAAGATGGGAACCAGGGACTCCACCACTCCTTCACCGTGGGTCTCAATGATGGTCTGGAAAGAGAAGAACCACAAAGTCCATCACAAGCTCTAATTTAAAGGGAGTTTTTACTTGACCAGCAGGTTTCTTCTGCCTGGAAGCAACATAAACAAGAAACAAAAGACAAAAACAGGATGAATTTGAACTATTTCTACTAAAATGATGCTGCTCAGAGGGAAAGTCATGATCCACAGTGGAAGTTTAGTCTCTTGTTTACGTCATTTCCAGCCACAACAAACCTGCTGGTCATATAAAAATCGACTATAAATCAAAATTTGCAACGAGGATAAACATTTTTTGGGACGAGTAACTGACTAGAGAACTACTGCATCATCTGTTCTACCGTTACAGAGGATCAGAACGTGATAGGACATGGTGGGAACCAGCAGGAACATCTGGAAGCAGACAGAAGCTGCATTTTTTTTTCAACATAAATGGGGTATGAATAATTTTGGACACAACAAGTTTTTAGTAAAAATGCAAAAAAAAACCCAACCAAACATCATTTCTCATTTGTTGGTGTCATTTCCAGCCAGAAGAAACCTGACGGTCAAATAAAACTCTCTATAAATCACAGTTTTGCATGAAGAGGAACCTTCTTTTGCCTAACTGTAAATAACAGAAAGTGATTTATTTATTTTTTCTCACCTGTAGCTCAGAATACAGTTTTCCCGCCTCTTCGCTCACGATGTTGGGGTCCAGCTCCACCTCTCCGGTGGCACACAGCACTCGCTCGCCGTACTCCATTCTCACAGTTGTTCTGTCAGACCGCTGCACTTAAAGGTAAACAGTAATTTGCCTCGAGGTAAAACGAGTTAATCTCGCTCTGGGACGTGTCGGCCGGCAGCAGCTCCGCCCATCCTGCGCTCGCCTACGCCGCGGCCTCGACTGGAGGAGCTTTAGAGTCCATCCTGGAACAGAGAAGAGCCAGATGTGCACAGCTATGGTCAGTCAAACTGCTCTGGTTTTCCAGCTGATCACCAGGATCTGATGTGTGGCCGAAGGCTTCAATCTGTGACTGAAGCTCAGCGAGGATGAAATGTGAATTTAAACAGCTGCTTCCAGTGAAGAAAAGCTTCATTAAAGAGCAGCCGGTTGTCGGTTTTCAGGCTCTCAGACTGAGATTTGCTCGGTCACACATTCCTGAGTGGATAGATTTTCTATTTGAAGCCGCATTTTTCAGGAACGACTTCAGAGTCGCTCAGAGAAACTTAATCAATTATTCAAGGAGCAGAAAGCTGTTCTGATGATCAGGTTAACGTTAAAGACTCGCTTCAATTAACATTCTCTGGTCTGCTTTGACTTCTGTGACAGGATGTATTTGGATTTCACACGAAACTAGCAGCTAATCTGCTAATCAACTGATTATTTAGTTTGTTCAAACAAACAAAAACAAAAAAACCCTGAAAAATGTGCATCAGTTTCCTCAAATGTCTTGTTTTGTCCAAAGATCTTCAGTTAACTGTCACAGAAGAGGAAAGAAACCAGAAAATATTCACATTTAAGAAGCTGAAGTCGCAGAATTTAGACTGTTTTTATCAGAAAATTACTAAAATTCATTAAATGATAATCAAAAAAGTAGAGGCTCACCTAAAAGTTGACAACCAATTGATTATTCAGTGCAGATCTAATATTTATATGACTTGGTTTTCAGATCTGCAGCACATTTTTGACAGACAACAATATGAATGATGGTTTCTGGGGTAAATTTTAATTTAAAATAAAGTGATTGTTGCTGCAGACTGAACCAAACTCTGTCTCTTTAGATAAAAACGTCTCTGCAGCAGCGTCACGCTTCATCTAAAGTAAAATAGAAGCAATAATAACAACAACCACAGCACGGCTAAAATGCAAAACACTGAAAGGAAAAATCTTCTTCATATCTGATAAACGTCTCTGTGTGAACATTTAGCTCCTTGGTGTTCTCTGCACACCACCCAACCTGCCAAAACACACATTTCTGTCAACTTTTGCTTGTTGGAGCACTAAAAACAGTGCATTTAAATGCATTTTTTGCAGGTTTGACAGTGTTTGTTTCATCCACAACCCAAAGATATTCAGTTTACTGTCACAGAGGAGGAAAGAAACCAAAAAATATTCACATTTAAGATGCTGCAAACACATAATTTAGCCTGTTTTTGTCAAGAAATTACCCAAACTGATCAATCAATGAGCAGTTTGGTCTCTAAAATATAAGAAAATACAGATGTTTTTTTCTCCCACACATAAAAATATTCAGCTTGCTGTCAGAGGAGGAAAGAAACGAACATTTAAGAAGCTGAAAAAACAGATTTCCTTTAAATATACATGTGATCAGACTGATTAATCAATTATTCAAACAGCTGGTCATTAAGTTAATCATTGCAGCTCTTTTATAGACACACAGCGGGTTGATTGGACTTAGAATAATCAGTACTTGCAGGTTTAATTACCAAACAGGGACATTTAAGGTTCTTATAATTCTATAAAAGAGAAAAACACAGACAGTGGACCTCAGTATTAAACATGAAAGCGTCTTTAATCCGGACTTTGAGGCTGTTTGTGTTTAAAAAGCAGCACAGAACCCGTTCAGAGAGTCATAAAGGCAGGTTGTCCCAGGCCTGTGATCAGTTTAATTAGAGTCCTGGTGGGTCGGAACACCACAGGACTCGCAGCTGAGCGACTCTCCGCATAAATAAGTGAGAGGACTGACAGCGGACACCTTCGCACCAGAACCTCCACCGCCTCGCTTTTCTACCTGGAAACGAGCCGCGGAGTTCGGCCGCCGCCTGAAAAACTCACCTGGACCGAAACCTCCTCCGGAACTTTCATGTTTCTGCCCCCAAAAACTCACAAAACTCCGCCGAGTTTTCTTCAGGTTCGGATCAATTACACACAAACCAGTTTAGTGCGGGGGGAGGAGCCACCGCCTGACGTATGGGCCACCAGACCAATCACGGAGAAGTGTTTTCACCTCGCAGCCAATGGAACGGTGGAGGAGGCGGGACGTGGGCGGCGCTGTTCTCAGGAGGAGAAAAAAAAGTTTCCTGAAACTTGAACGTTGACACGTGACCGAGGAGGCTGTCAGGTGACCCGAGGAGGCGCGTCACGGGCGGATACCTGCGCGGGGCCGGCGGGCGTACCTGAGAGAGAGCTGCTGCTTCCTGTCAGCTGACCGGAACCGCTCAGGTTACAAGCGTCTCAAGAAATGAACGTTTTTTAAAACAGCATAACTGTAATTTAATAAAAAATAAAATAAAACACAACAACGTGCTGTTATCCTACAGATGCTTCCTGTTTTGTTAAATTACAGACAATGTCACGTAAAATCACAGAAAAAATATGAATTTATTACAGACAAAAACAGACCAAAGTTCTAAATGATACCCATATAAAAAACCCCCAACTAATTTTAGAAATTTGTGACCATAGAATTCCACAGTTTTTATGGTATTTAAATCTGAAAACAAAAAAAATGTCACTTTACAAATGTTAGCCGTTACTTCAAACTAAAGTCCTGGATATTAAGGATTGAGAAAAAAAACAAAACATTTTTTTAAACTAGATTTTTTAAAAATAGATTTCCATTTTTTGGTAAATTAAATATCATTGCCAGTAAATTCACAGGAATAAAAGATTTATTTACATGCAGACTGTAAAAAAACAACAA